GTGGCATTTTAAATTACAATAGTATATCTTTTTTTCTTTTCTTTTTTTTTTTTTTTCATTTCATAAATCCATATCTCTCATATCTCATCTCGTCGACTTATTCTTCATCTCTTTTTGCATCTTTTTTTTTTTCTTATTAATCTTTTTATCTTTTTTTTCTTTTCATCTATATAATGTTGCACATAACCCAATACTGGCTGCTTAGTCATCTAGCTGTACAAAACATTATATATCGCTAAATTCTAGCATCTAGAAGATTTGTCCTGTGTGAGGTTTATTTTTTTCGACGTACGCGTAGATCGTAATATTTCTATTTAAGAGACACAACGAGTCCCGAATAATATTTTTTCTTCTCTTCTTCTTATTATTATTATTATAATTATTATTATTAATATTATTAATATTATTATTATTATTATTATTATTATTATTATTATTATTATTATTATTATTATTCCGCATTCTTCTTCTCTCGATCATTTATTTATTACGATCGCATAATATAGATAGATGGAATCAATTCTCTCGAAATCAAATTTGTTTGTTTTTTTTTTTTTATTATTACATCGTCATAATTTAAATATTATTTATTCTACCGTATTATTATATGAATTATTTATATTTCAACGTAATAGATATATTATTCATTTGAATGATAAACAAATGACCGGAAGGGGAAGAAGTCGAACCGAATAATTCATTAAATCGTCTTTTTTTATTACGCAGTCTCACACTCTTTATATATATATATATATATATATATATATATATATATATATATATATATTTGCAATCTACACGCACCGAATTATTCGCAACAATCGAAACGCAATTTGCCTCGCATGCACTTTTATTCGCGAGACTTCAAATCAACGTGCTACTATTTCTTCTCTTTTATTTTTTTCTTATTCATTCTTAATACATGTTTTGTTTATAAATTCTTTTTCTCGTTCATCTATGCATCCATCATCACCCACGTCTTTCGATAAGAAACAAGTCATTTAATTTTGTTTACTTTTCCTTATCCCATTTTTCTTTCCTTTTCCTCCTCATATTCGATTTTCGCATTATCGCGATTAAGTACATTAAAAAATACCGCTACATCGCTCAAATATAATCGGTGAAGCTTACATAATGTTTTAGTGTGGTCGTCGGTTCGGAAAGTCGATCATTTCGATTATGAGACCCCACTCCCCACCACCACCACCATTTTGTAAATTATTATTTGTTTATATCTCTATATATCGAGAGATGCTTCGCATCTGTAACCGTATACACGACTCAACAAAGATTCTTTATCTTTTTTTTCTTTCTTTCTATTTTTGTAATTACACTCTCGACAATTCTTCGTCTTTTATTTTTTTTTTGTTTTGCTTTTTTTTTCTTAATACGTTGACCGCCTCGCGTCGCCCATCATAATTTGGGCAACGAGTCAAATTATTCATTTATTAGCTTGAAGTACTTTAAAAAGAAAAGAAAAAAAGAAGAAGAAAAAAAATTGCATAAAAATTCGATAGAAAGATAAGTATTCAATAGTAGTAGTAACATAATTAATAACGTTTAAAAGCTGACTCCCTAGGACAACATGCTGTGCGTATTTTTTGAACGATCGTGACATTTTTCTTTTTTATTTTATTATCGTTATCATTATCATTATCATTATTATTATTATTATTATTATTATTATTACTATTATTATTATTATTATTAATTTTCTTTTTAGCAGCGAGAGAACGCAAGAAAAAAAAAATGTTTCGCTTTACGTTTCGTCGCCTAGAAAAGCGCGCGTTACTTACTTACATTACTTTTTTCTTTTTTTCTTTACTTTACTTTACTTACTTCGTTTCACACTTCGTTTTACGTTCTTAACATTTTGTGTATCATCATAATATCCGTGTGCGCGCGTGCATGCTTTTCTTTTCTTTTCTTTTTTTTATTTGATCGATCATCGAATTCGCGTTTTTTTAATTCGAACTGTAAACGATTGATTTTCCTAAACATCAATCGACAAATTACAGCACAATAAACGCGCGGATCTATCAAACAAACATTGCAAATCATTTATTTATTCGCGTTTTTTACGTTTCATCATCTGGCGAGACACGTACGTGTTTTCGAGCACGCACGCATGCGCGCTCACGCACACACGATTATTTATTTACTCATTCATTTATTTATTTATTTATTTATTTATTTATTCTTCCTCGTTCGTCTAAATCGAGCAAAAAAAAGGGGATTTTGACAATGGAGTGAAAATTTCAGCAAGTCCTTCTCGGCACGTCAATTTATAATATAGACATTACGTTATAGTTTTTTATTCTTTTTTTTTTTTTTTCCTTTACTTCTCGCTTTTTTTTGAAATTCCTTTAAGCAATTCTTTATTTTATTATATTTTTACTTTTTTTCAGACAAATTCCACGAAGCTTCTACAATTTTTTTCTTCCCCCTTCCCCCCTCCTCCTCCTCCTCCTCCTCCTCCTCCTCCCTTTTTATTTGGATCTGCCATTTTATCCTCGTCTTCTTCTTCGTCATCTTGATTATTTTTTCTCAATACGGTTCAGCATTTTTTTATTCACATTTATTATACGCACTATTCTCGGATTCTTTTCTTTTCTCCGTTAGAGCTACGACGACATTGTGCTACTTAGGTGGGTGGATATCGTGAAGATGGGGGGCGGGGGCGGGGGCGTGGTTCAGGGGTCAGGGGGGAAGGCGTTAAAGTGTTACTTAATTATTTGATCAAGATGAATTAAGCTTGACGCCTTGGAGGTAGGGTCCAAGCATTGGGGCCAGGGAGGGCGTGGGGGGCAGGACGTCACAGTTGCTGATCCCTACAAGGCACCCAAATGTTGGGTCCGTTTTGTTCGGAGATTACTTCTTTTACTTTTACGTAGATCTCTTCTGGTGTGTCTCCTTGGACGACGGCTGGAAAAATATCAAAATATATAAATAATATATTGTATATATATATATAAATTTATAAAAATGATTATATGTTATCAATTTGTACATTTAAGCCTCTTGTTTTTTCCTATAACAGGAATAATTCATCCCTATTTACTTCCCGTATAGTAACGAAATATAAACGTAGGATGAAAATAAATTCATGTTACATGGGAAAAATTGTAACAATATTATAAGGAGGTTAAGTGTAGCATGTAATTTTTAAGACAACACTAAATTTTTTCTTTTTTTTCCTCTCTCACAGAATGAAATATATTTTATATTAGAATAAGCGTATCCTCCTACCAGTAAAGTATTCCCCAAACTCCTGCTCCATTTTAAGAGCACGTTCGTAAGTCTTCTTAGCTTGTTCGTCGGTCGTTCTTTTATTCATTTCCCTATGGGACAAGGAAAAGAAATAAATTGATAATGATTCTATAACGTTTTTTTTTTCTTCTTCTTTTTTTTTTTTTATAGAAAATCAATACCGCTTATATTCTTACGAAGATTTGATTTTACTTACTTTACGGACTCGACTGACTTCGGCTTTATGAATATGGCAATAGGATAAAGTTGTGCTACTTGTAACCTCTTGATAGCATTTCCGCTGACATCAAGAATACAGTGCTTTCTCTGAAAGAAAAGAAGGAAAAAAAAAAAACAAGAAAATAATTATGAAAAGAAAGAGAATAGGAAAATATATAATATCAGAATTAGTCGATATATATTTTTTCTCTCGTTATAGAATATAATTGTAATTAAAATGAATCAATTGTGTAAATGGTAATAGTAATACCTTCTCGGCAACCTCTCGAACAGATGCAACAGACGTTCCATAAAGATTGTCATTGTATTGTCCTGCTTCTATAAATAAGTGATTTTGAATATCTCTTTCCATTTGTTCTCTGGATGCAATGAAGTGATAATCACGTCCGTCCACCTCATTTTCTCTTCTACTCCTCGTCGTGTCTAAAAAGAAAATACAATTTTTTTTAATAATATTATTCACGAATTAAAATATTATCGGCGGGCGAAGGGTGGTTGGCCCCTATATAAATCATTATTTCATAATAAAATACACTTTATATTAGATTATTCGGAATGGAAATTATATTTATTCAGATCGAAGCACAAAAAAGTTCGCAATTGAATCGTTTGTTGCTAATATGGTAAAATGATTTGGAGATTTAGAATAAAATCTTGACGTATCATTAAATGCGTAAAACAAAATTATTATTCGTACGATCTAATAATATAGTTACACTTACTTTTTTCGTATATATTAAAAATACTAATATGTAATTTTGTGTTTTTCACGAATTTTGTTCCGTGTTATGTTTTATTCCAACGTAACAAATCGGAAATCAAGATAAAATACGAGTATTTAAGAATTTATTTTCATTATTTGTGTTCACTTACGAGGTACGCAGCTGCCAAATTTATCAGGAAATTCATTTATGAGGTCATCGTTGATAGTATCCTTAAGAGCTCCCAAAATGATGACCGGACGTGTATACTGAATGGTGAGTTGTTGGACTGGCTCGTACGAGAGTACGTTCTCTTCGCTGCCTGCAATAACAAGTACCCACTGTCAATCTAAATCATCGATAAGAACTATCAAAATTGAAGCTGAATTCATTCTGTTAGTAAAACCTCGCGTCGACGTTTAAAAAAAAGAAAATTTGATTTTTGTGAAAAAGGGAAAGGGGAAAACCACAGAAAAAAAATAAATGAAAACAGAACAGATCAACAACAAAACCCAAAAAAAAAATAAAATAAAAGAAACTAAACGAAACGTAAAACAAATCAATATAAGCGTTGAAAGTTCGTTCTATTATTTGAGTCAACGAAAAATATCCTTCCACGCGTTTGGATTCTTTTTTTATTTAGTAAGTATAATATTATAATATTTATTTCCTTCGTTACGGATACTTGTTATTTGTTTTTTTTTTTTTGAATTGCACAACTGCAGAGAAGCGTTATTCTTTGATATTTCATTTAATTTCTTTTCTATTAAACGGGCCAAGTACATGCGCTCCGGTGACTGAGTAATATACAGAAAAAGCAGGGAAAAAGTGAAAACGGCTAAGCCAGCTTAGAAAACTATTTCAAAAATAGCTACAAAATCTTGACAAAAAAAACGGCTTAAAAGGACAAGTTAGTATATATATAGTTATATATATATATATATATATATGATATATGATATATATATATATATTTATATATAATATTTTTATATATCTAGCTGTGTGTTGCTCTATTTCTAAATAGGATTTACATTTTGCTATTTTGTATACGTATGCTCGTGTCTACTTTTTGTACGTTTGCTTTTCAATCTAATTGTACAAGATTGACGTCACTTCTTTTGGCAAAGTAGAAATAAATTTCAAATTAATTTGTAAAAATATACAACGCGTATATAATATAACCGGAGAAAAATAAATAAATTTTGTTATAAAAAGTCTTCAAAAGAACCTCACCTACGAAATGACGTCTCTTTCGCATAATCGCGTTGTAACGATCTTTGATTAAATTTTTATTTGTGAGAGAGTATTAGTTGCAGACATATATATAGATATAGAGAGAGAAACAAAATGAAAATAACAAAACACTGGGGTATAATAACGAAAAAGCACGTGTCGCGACTGTCGTATTTGCGCGAAGCGTTTTTGATTTTTTATAGAAGGCAATTTTTTTATTCGTCAGTGATTAGAAGGAACCGGAAGAGAGTGTGAGAGAAATAACAGAAGAAAAAAAAGAAAGAAAGAAAGAAAAAAAAACAACAGGGATCAATATTAATTCAAAATTCGAATTAGTCATCCTACGATCTAATGTTTTTGCTATTTGCACTCCTGCTTACATCACATTTGCGTTCGTTCCTTGCATCTTGTTTGTACTTATCTTTTGTTTTTTATTTTATTTATTTATTCTTTTGTTTATAAGTAATCTTTTTATATTTTTTTTAATATCAATTTCGAACGAAACTTTTTCATCTAAAATATTCGCTTCTCAACTTACAAAGCTCGTCACAATTTTCATCATCAACGTACTCCTTTTCCAGATAAACTAATGTCAGTTCTTCCATATAGGGCAGTTCAACGCGATACAAAATTTCTTTACTCCCTGCGACGCAAGACAAATCTTGAATGAATAAAACAGAATGGGGGAAGAACAAATACTTTTATGTTTAATGAGAATAAAATGCGATAGTGAGAGATATGGGATGATGGAAGAAAATTTTTAATCCAAAAACAACGATGATTACGACGACGACGACGACGACGACGACGATGACGACGATGACGACGATGAAAATAACGTGAAACATTTAACGAATGATGTTTTATAAGAAAAAAAAATGAAGGAAAAAAAGTAATACAACTATTCGATTACTTTCCGATATAATATGTTTTAAAATAATAATAAATAAAAAGATAATCAAAATCTCGAATAAAAATATATAGAAAAATGACTTATGTCGTTAAAAAAATTGTCTATTAAAATAAATATTATATAATAATTTGTTTGTATAACGCGCTAATGAATAAGTATGTTCTTGTTAATCAATGGGGGTAACACGAGTAAATGAGAAATAAAGGATAAGGTAGAGAAGTGGGACGAGAAAAAGAGACAAAGGAAAATGACAAATAGGAATATGAGAAAGGAATAAAATGTGAATGAAGTGGGGGAGAGGAAAAATATATCGAGAGAGAGAGGGAGAGAGAAAGAGAAACACACACAGAGGATCAAGAGAGACGATTACCTTCAGTGTTAGTGTCGTCCTGGGTGTAGCACAGCATGAATGCTAGAACATAACAAGTTGAATATTTCAGTATACATTGCGTACTAATAAGCTGCCGTTAATTATCGCTACAGTTAATTAAGCGTTAAAGCGCCAACTTCTTCTTATTCTTTTTCTTTTTCTTTTTCTTTTTCTTTTTCTTCTTCATCTTCTTTTTATTTATTTTAATTCTTTCTTCTATCTGATCAATCATACTTTGTTTTTTCTTTTTTTTTTTTAATAAGCCAATATGTATTTCGGATATCCAAAAATTGTAATTATTCTTAATTAACTCGACGTGTCCGTGACAAAGAATCTAAATCGAGTACATACTTCATTTTTTCGGTCGTGACCAAGTAAAAAGATTGAGAAAATAACAGTCGACATTTTTTTTTCTTTTTCTTCTTCTTCTTCTTCTTCTTCTTATTATTATCATTTATTCCAGATATTGATTAAAGAAAAAACACGACACGAATTTTTACTCGTATTTAACCGAACAAACAGAAAAAAAACACTTTTTTCAAATGCCACATTTGGCGACAAATTTGAATGATAAATCATTAGTTTGATCGCAAATGAAAATGTCGTGATCACTAAAAGCAACGGGAAAAGCGATTTACGACAACGCGCATGCATACATATACGTATATGGTTACATGCATGTATATATATATAATACAATATATATATCAATACGTGTACATATAGAACGAACTAGGTAAACTTAAAGTTCGCCAATTAAAAGCGAGTTTGTGTTTTAGAGGTATGCGGCATGCAACGATGAAGTTTTGTGCAGTTAACTAACACAGGCAAAGACTAAAATCTATTGGTTGGTCGATGGCCGGTGGAAAGTTTCAAACGCAAAATTTATACAATTAAAATACACGTGGATAAAATATATAATATGTATATTATAAAAAGAGTATAAAAAAATAAATAAATAAATAAGAAGAGATATAATTAGAAATTAAAAATGAGTGTTAATATGAGAGTGTGTATGAGAGTGAATTGTTTGATATTTTGTATTAGTATATTGAATTTTTGTTTGTTTATAAAAACTCATTGAAAATACTTACGAGTAGGATCGGTTTCATTCTCAGGTGTTGTGGGCGACCCTACATAAGCAGGCAAAAACAAAACACATGTCACGTTTTCACATCATCAAAAAACACAAAAGCTCATTCTGGAATTAGGTGAGTATCGTCGAGTTTGTCCTTAAGAGATAATATTTATAATATTGCTGTTTTTAAATTCTATTCGTCTCATTGTGTAAAGAATTATATGTATGTATCATTTATATCGTTAATTGAATTATTATAAAAAAGAGGACTATATTAGGAAGAATCCGATTTTTATCTCATTTGTACGTTAATTTAATAATAAAAGATAGAGAAAAGAGGAGGGGGAGGGGAAAGAAAAAATGAAATTCGAAAAAAGAAATTATAACGAGTTCGGATAAGGTATTTTAACGAGATGTAGACAAATTGATCGTACATCGAGATTATTCAGTATATCATTCAATTTGAATTATGTCACAGTAAATAGATTTACGAGAGTGGAGTATATAATCATCGCACGAGATACTAGTGGAAAAAGAGTAAGAGAAAGAGAGAGAGAGAGAGAGAGAAAGAGAGAGAGATACATACCACGAGAATAACACTTAAAACACAATGATTATAGGATTGGAACATGCACAGAACGTGCAGGACAAGTTTCGTAGAAATACTTTTCTTTCCAATACTCACGTTCTTGATCCGAACCATCCTCGGACTTGTCGTCCTTGCTCTTCATGAAGGGAAACTTCCTGCTAAACGAGAAATTCTTCTTTTTCCTATCCAACGTCGATTGCTAATGTAAAAAAATGAAAGCTAGTCATTTTAAACAATTTTTGTTGAAATTTTAATCACGGATATTAATGCACGCGTCTCGATATAAATATTATATCGATTAATATAAAAATTGATATTACAAAATATTAAATAAATAAATAAATAAAAGTATTAATATAAATATTTTTGGTTAGATCATCTCTAATGTATTTTCCGATAATGAAATTTCTTATCTTATACATTTAGGCGCGTACGCATTTTGATCGCCAGAAAATATTAGGAATAATAACGTTGGACACGCGTGTAAATAAAATTATAACTCATTCTTTTTGATTGTATAGTATAGATAATTACAGGAGTTTTTAAGGTGGAGCCTTTACCTTGTCAAGAATGACCGGCATGTGACCCTGAAACTTGACCGAACGATCCCTGGCACGTTGCTTACGTTCCCATCGCCTACGCGATGGAATTATACCAAGCCCTTCTTCTTCATTCTGAGGAGTTACTCTTCGTGCCTGCCACCATTCGTCGTCGCTTGCGTTCGTCACGTGAAGGATCTCTCCATAACGGAATGCCAATCCACGACTCGGCAATCCGTCGTCCTTATTAGGGTCGTAATCGAATAGGGCTCTTAACAAAATAAGTCACGTTCATTATGATATTATTAAATTCGGATTCTGTTCATAAATCATCGTGTTTTATATTTTTAGAAACAAAATTATACGATACAACATTTTGTTGGTCATACCAAATGATCCAATTTTTGTATTATTTCCATTCACGTTACGATATAATTATAATTATAAATAATCATTTTATAAATCTCTCGGTACACTAATAAATAATACAAGATTGGTTAAAAATAGGTCACGCGTTATATATTAAAAACTATACCACTATCAATATTAGATTAAACGTTAAATTAATTTAGAAGAAGCTTTATTTTACGTTTAAATCTTGACTTTACCTTACGTAAAGTGATTTTTTCTGCGAGGTCCTCATGAGGGTACCTGTCATCATATTCTGTTGAGAAATTTGTTGTTTGAGATCATGGATCTTAGCCTCGAATCTATTATAATCTTCTGGCTTGTACTGTACAACGATTGTCACTGTTTGACCGGTGCCCTAAACAGATAACCAAGACCAAAAAAAAAAAAAAGAAGGGAAAAATAAGTCAACAAATTTCAAATAATTTATTGACAATTTTCTAATATATTTTTGGTAACATACCTTAAGGGCCGCGGCAGCCTCCTCGTGGGTGGCCGTTCGTAGGTTGATGCCATTGACACTGAGAATTTGATCGCCACGACGAAGTTCACCGCTCAAATCGGCTGGTCCACCGGCTAAGATGAATGAAATAAAAATACCCTCGCCATCTTCGCCACCTACGATGTTAAATCCCAGACCCGAGGAGCCTTTGTTCAAAACGACCGTACGAACTTCTCTGTAAAAAGACAACAAGAAAAAAATACAAATAATATATAAAGGTAAGAGTTATTTCGTATACAATAAAATGTATCATCGATTAATTACAAAAGTTTCTCTCATTTTCTAAATCCGTGGAAAAAAAAAGAAAAAAAAAAGAACACTAGTTCTTCTATATCATTTAATTGTTTTTTGTTATTTTTACTTTTTTATTTTTATTTTCTTTCTCTTTTTTTTCTCTTATTTCGTTGCGTTGTCAGAAATAGGAACACGTTCAACAAGAAGAACGACGATATTTTCGATATCGGTTATCGTATAGAAAACCAACTGGAAAAAGTTCCTGAGAGAGATAAAACGTCAAAGTTGTTTCGATCGACGATAATTGCTTCCGGAGCGAGTCCATCGAGGCGTGGAAATTGTCTCCTTCGTTTAACAACGACTAATAATCGTACGGATGGCTGTCTTGCAACGTTAAAAGAAAAAAGAGAAGAAGAAGAAGAAAAAAAAAGAAAAGTAGATAAAGAAATAAGTTAGATAAATCTTGGATCTTCTCGGATCCCGTTTTTCAACTAGCTATACATCATTTTATCTGGTACTTCTACCGAGATATAAAGTTTTTTCATTAACGGCAGGAGGTTTGCCAGACAGACAGAAAGAAAGAGAGAGAGAGAGAGAGAGTTTCTAAACTATGTTGTTGGTCATTAATTGCTTCACTTCTCCCATGATGCTTTAATTAAACTTGTAAACTCGTAAACGCGTGCCGTGTCATTTATCTTTGAATATATTTTCGGATTCAATATCACATTTAAGGCATTAAGAATCAGAATGGATTAACCTACTAGCTTTTGTGATTTTGAGAAAAACGTTTTAGAAAATTATATAATACAAATATTTGTGAATTTGCTTCAGGCCAATTTTGAAAGTAGGTCCTTCTTACATTTCTGCATTTGTGTCCTACCTTTCTGATGCATAAATTTGCATGGTAAAAAAGTATTGATCGATTTATCTTACGATATATTTAAATAATTATTGTACATATATTAAAAGAGACACTTCAGAAATGATTGTCGGAAGCTGCAATGGCGCATTGCGGCAGAATTCTAGTCACAACGAGATTAGCACGTTAATTAAGGTTCCCATTGAAATTTGACTGCTTCGAGGTTTGTTGTATGACCTGAAGCGGTCTTCATCCTACACGACGCAACCATATTAGTACTTAGTAATGTACGGACTCAAAACTAGATTTGTCTCTTAGCCTCTTCGCCAAAATTTCGATGTACATTCACCTACGCACAGAATTCCTCTCACTCTCTCATACACTCACAGAAACACACACATATACACCCACACTTGTTCCTCGTTGTAATCAGCTTATAATACATTACTGTAATTTCAATGATGTTAATTCCAAATATCGAATCGAATCGAATTTTTGATTATAAACAAAAATATCATGGTATTATTATATAAATTATATTGCAAATACCTCAAATACGCAAATTCAATTACTTTCATTCACATTCCAAATTTAATTCTATCATTGTTAATTGAAAAAGTTTTCAGTGAAAAATACTAAACTAAGTTTATGTGATTTGTTTAATGATTGAGAAAACATTGATGTCACAATTTTGTAATAAATTTAAAATATTTTCGTATCGGGATAAATATTTCATTAAAATTAATCGAAAGTAAATCAATAAATAAATGGAAGAGATGGAGAAGTTAATATTCGTTAATAATCCCCCCTATCAAAGTAATATTAATTCGATATTTATTAAATAAAGTATATTTTCTTGTTTCATTTGCAATAATAACAGTCGTTCGAATAATTTTCTTTGATCGAATCAAATGCATACTACAATTTAGTACGAAATAAGAATAAATTGAAGAAACGAGAAAACAATAATCGATTATTAGTTATTATCATTTTCCATTGGTATAATTCTGATGTTTTCGAAAATCCTGCGTAAAATTCGTAGAAGATTGGTGGAAGGAGTATTTCCTGTATGTGACGAGGAACTCCTGCATGTGGCTTTCCGGAAGCTGCCACCAACCTCAACCCCATTTTATGGAAAGCACTCGGCAAGCGAGTACTCCTATACACCCCCTACATCCCCGTACACCACGAGCTTCTCGCTCGCGTTAACAAAGACCTCAAATTAGCGGTCGCACTGCTATTGCAGCTATGTTTTTAGAGCTCTATTAAGGTCAGTAGCGTTGTACCAACCCTTACTATGTTCTCATCAAACATTACATACCCTCATTCATTTTTCTATTGTGTAAAATATCGAGATTTTTTGTTATTACACGAAAAAAGGAACAACAACAGAAGAAAAAATGCAAACTTAACGAATATTTAAGTTCGCGTTATTTAATCAAATGGTCAACGTAATCGAATTAAATCGCGTTACGTAATTCGTTCGATGGTTAAATAACACGTAACAAGGATTAATTAAAAAGATAAATAAAATTTCTTGTATTAGTAGCATCTGTATATAAAAATAATAAATGTATTTATTTTTAAGCGAAAATAGAGTAGTATAATGCAAAGATAAAAGTGACGTATTAATTAGAACAATGTTCTTAAACCAAATAGTGTTCCCTCTTTATCTAACAGGAATTGAGGAAAGTAGTACGTCATGCGTGGTTTGGATGATTGATTGAAAAGTATAGAAAACTTTGTTTCCGTACATTTATAAAAGTTAATGCATGAGATGGATATTGAAAATAAATAAATTTAATTCAATAATAAAAAAAGAAAAATAATAATAATTAAATATATAAATATTCAGAATTTTCATATTATTTAAAAATATAATTTATATACATATAAAATATAAGAGAAATCAAATTATTTTGTTTTAAATATATTTCTATTAGAATATTATTTATACTCGTTATTATTGTGTACTTTATCCTTTTTTTCTTTTTTAATGAAGAAAAAATATATAACAGAAAAAACAAAGAACACGATATATAGTATCGAGACAGTATAACGAACTATTGGAAATATTTCACAAAGTAGCACACACACACACTGACACGTATACACAGGGGGATCACATGCATGAATGTAAGCGAACTATATATGCGTCATTTGCTTCTCCATCGTCACCTCGAACGCTTGACGTCATTTCCATGCATCTGCATAACGTCCATTCACATTAAACGGATCACGAGCCGTTCGAACATGCTGAACTTTGTCAATGAAGGGACACACAGGGGAAAGGGAGAAGGACGAGAAGAAGAAAGGGGAGGATTACAAAAAGAAATGAAATATTTTTAATCTTCCGAATATATATATCGACGCGTCTATAATTATTTTCGTCATATTTTAATTAAATCAAATTCACTCGTTGTTTAATTATTTTACGAACAAAGGAAAAGAAAGAAACAAAAAAAAAAGGAAGATAAAAAGAAAAAATCACTAGCAATGAAAGCGTCCATTGAAAGCTTTCCTATATCGGGAAAGCAAAAGGAAAGAAAAGAAAAGAAAATAAAAGAAAAGAAAAGAGAAATGAGAAACGAGGTCAGGTCGAGTGAAAAGCTCTTGGCATATAAGAGAGAAAAAAAGAGATATAAAATGCAGTGAAAACTGAATTGTAAATCTGTTTGGCGGGAAGCCTACGTGTCCAGCTGGTCAGTTCAAAACTACGCGTACGTGTACAAATAGAAAGATAGAAAACAAAATGATATATATGGATACGTGTATATGTATTATCATGCATATACACACTCACACACCAATCACAGCATTCACATAGAGTTATGAAAATACACGAGTGTATTCGTATTGGGTGTTTCACGAAAGGACACGTCACATTCACTCAACTATATTCCTATCTCTATTTTTTCTTTGATCGTGCGCAGTGTTGATCAGCGCACAGGTGACACACACAGAAACAGCAGACAGGCCATATGCGTTCGGTGTGTGCGTGTATGCGTGTGTCAACGAGTAGTAGAAGAGGGTGGGAGGGAGGGAGGGTAGGAGGCCACGTTGTCCTCTCTCTTTCTCTCTCCTTCTTACGCACCTTCCGTCACGTTTCACGCAGGTACTACTATTCGTGGTGCGTTAACAACACCACCACCACCTTCGGCCTTTTCTCCACTTTCTCGTTATAATCGAACAACTAACTAGTAATAGCTAGTCAGTAATAGTATTAGGAGTATTTAGTAGTAGTGACAGCAGCAGCAGGTGGCGGTCACCCTATCAAACGATTGGAAAGTTTCCTCGTTGAATGTGACATTCGAGGAAGATCATCACTCGCTATCACTCCTCCACGAACACACGTTTCTTTTCTTCATATGTAATCAGAGAAAAAGGAAGTAGAGAAGAAGAATAAGATAAAGATAAATACGAGAAAGAAATGTCTCTCTCTTAAACTTTTTGCGTTTGTCTTTTTCCCTTATTTTCTTGTCTCCTTTGTTTTTCTTTTATTTTGTTTAAAATTTGTACCTTTTACAATTTTTGGCCCCGTCCCCCCACCCCCCAGTAGTCAATATGGAAAATGTATCAATTGAATGATCGATTAAAAATGATATAGAAATAATATGTTATTAGTAATATTAGCTGAGAACACCACTGAGCCGGATCTCGCGTAGATCGTTCTCGAGGGCGTCGCGACGGATTAAATGCCGCATAGGTGGCCGTCGTGTCGCCATGCGCTGCGCCACCTCGACGTTCCTACTACCCCTTCTCCATTTTCATCCCCTAGCTGGAGAAGAGAACCAGCAGTGAGCGAGCTATCATCAGATCGATAGAAATAAGCTGACTCTCGCACGCTACCGACCTAGACTCCTCTCTCTCTCTCTCTCTCTCTCTCTCTCTCTTTCCTACTTTCTGTTTCCTCCCTCTTACTCTACAGTAACCCCCCACCCCAACCACCCTTCGCCCACATTTCCTCTTCCACTTCCAAACCAAACCAACCAACCAACCAACCAACTAACCAACCACCCACTCACCCATCTCTTTCAAGAGAAAAGGAAAGAGTTACGAAACTAGGACACCTAGTCCCAATT